ACACTGAGTACTTTAGATACATCTACTGGATACACTGAGTACTTTAGATACATCTACTGGATACACTGAGTACTTTAGATACATCTACTGGATACACTGAGTACTATAGATACATCTACTGGATACACTAAGTACAGTAGATACATCTACTGGATACACTGAGTACTTTAGATACATCTACTGGATACACTGAGTACTATAGATACATCTACTGGATACACTGGAGTACTTTAGATACATCTACTAAATTGTCATTAATTAATTCTCCAGAAATTGGTAGTATGGGTATATTGCATAATACATTTCAAAAATCCTAGATGAAGACACTTATTTTTCCTTGACTAATGTGTTTCAAGCGTCATAAGTGATAAAAAAATCATGCCTTTGTCAGTTAGAGGCTCTATAGATATATTATAGTACAATCGCAAATCGTTAGATGGCGCCACACGTATTCGCAAGTTATCCTGCAGTATTTATTAAAAGTCACTTAAACTTTAACGTATATAAACATACTCAAACATAAGTGTATTTATATAAACACTAGAGGATCTAGTAGAGAGATTTAAACAGACAAATAACCAGATATAAATATATATATAAACAGTGATGGATGAAGTATAGATTTATCTAGAAACAAACAGAACCTCGTCGATTTTCTATTCTACATACTTAAGATATGCTATGTTTTTGCTTATCACACATTGACAAACATTAAAGATTCCCCAACTGTTAGGGTGTTCTAACCGCTTCTAAAGGAGTGGGTTTGTTTAAAATGTAACTAGAAGAAGTGGGAGATATGGAAAATTTCTGGGTTTTCCTGAGTGTGACGTAAAAGATAATTCATGACGTTACGTTAATTAAACCGTTTTCTTTCCCCGGTCAAAGAGGACGTTAGTGACAACATCGGGAACTGTCGTTTCCATCACACCACACCACGCTGGATGCAGCAAGTCTACGCAGCAGCGTGATTATGGTCATCCTGCCGGCTCTTTCTGCCTCATTGCCCACCGCTGACAGAGACTTATGTGATATCCCCGTGCGTTAGTCAGTCTGGACAGTGGGTGCTTTAAAAATGGACGTTCTACTTATCTATTCTTACTTTCTTTACGGTCTTGTTAACTAAAAGGATCCTGCAAGATGGAAGAAGATTATTCGTCCAGCTAATGTAGTGTCCTTACAATAATGTCATAGTTCGCTTAGGTAATGAAACTAATACATGTTCCATGGAAAGCCCTCTAGAGGACCTAAGTTTCCTATCGACTGTCGTGGAAAGATAAATAAATATGTGTAATAAGTTCTTCTTCAACCACCTATCAGTTGCTCTGTCTGCTCTTAGAACAAGATGCTTCACCTATAAATCACCTGAGCACGATAAGCTTTATGTTGAATATCAAACTAAACGTATTAATTCTGAAGAGCGGTGTTTGGTCACCTTTGCTGATGGTTCATATTAATAAGTTTTGTTTTTTAACGTCTGGTGGCTACAGCACTCGACTCACAATGTGGGGGTCGCGGATTTGAATCCCGACACCGAACATGATTGCCCTTTCACCCGTGGGAGTGTTATATTGTGACGGTCAATCCCGCTATTCGTTGGTAAAAAGTAGCCCAACAATTAGTGGTTAGTGGTGTTGACTACCTGCCTTCTAAGTTAGGAACGGCTTGCGTAGATACCTCCCGAGTAGTTTTACGCGCATTTCAACAAACAAACCTCATGTTTGGAGAAGGTAACGCTGAAACTCGAGAAATTAAATTTTTCTTCCAAAGTTCTGAATAAACATTAAAAGGTATATTCTTTGAAATACTACTGATGATGACAAAACCTTATCGAAACGTTGTACATTTGCTGTTATGTTAAACTTATATTAAAGTATTTCTTCATTACCCATTCAAGTTGTCTCCTACCATTATTAGTCTCAAAGTGGATTCCTCGTCATCAAAATCGAAAATGTATGATTTATTTATTTTTCAACATTTTCAGATAGTGCTTTTCTTTTAACTTATAACAATTTTCCAAGATTTTATTATATGATTTTCAGCTTGCCCTTGCATGATGGAAGTTTATACAAACTTGCATAGATTTCTTGCTGTGCTTGTTTAATTAAGTTCCTTTCACGTAGTAGCCTGGATATACTCCGTTGCTTTTTACAACCTTTTCAAACTAGTTTTCTCAACAACTGGCTGAATATTATGGAATATTTTTTATGTGATCACTGTTTGTTTTAGCTTTTTATATGTCAAGATTTTTCTAAACTTTAATTACTTTTGTAAATGATAACGGACTATTCAGGCTTGGACATTTCTGTTTACTGGATAAGGAAATATATTAAAATTTAAATGCCTGTGTTTTTTATGAGCAACAATCAGAACTAAATGTTAAGTTGTTTTAACAGGAACTAGATTTATAAGTAGATTTGAGACTGTGCATGATAAAGAGTGTACTTCCATTATTGTTTTTGTTTTCTGCCCTGGCTTATTGAAACAGGCAATTATGGAGATGAAACTTTGACAGTTAAGGATAATATTTATGTAGTTTGATAAATAAGCATATGTTTTGTCTTTCAGGAACAGGAAACACAAGCACTGATGGAACTTACAAACCTTCATTTCTCACAGACCAAGAATTGAAACATCTTATTTTAGAAGTAAGTTCATTTTCATCTTTTCGCTATTAGAATTGCATTAAGAACTGTTTTTGGTTATTTGAAGTATGTGAACTATAAAGTATATTTTTTAAGTCTTTCACTGTTAGTTATTATTGTTTTCAAACTTCTATTATTAAGATAAGTTAATTTCAATGAAGCATTTCTGTATAAATAAATTGATTTTAATTATAATTCTTTTAACCATTTTCAACCTGTTCTTCATAAACATTTAGTTCAGAAATAAGTTCCAGATTTATTGTTTACAAATCTTGATTATTCCTTGACATAAAGTGTTTGCCCTTTCCATGTAAATTATGTTTTATTGTAGTTTTTGTTACATAGGGGAAACTTTTTGTTATATTAGGAAAAATGAATAATTTTGGGAAGATAATTTTTTAAATTATCTTTTAATGTAATTATTTTGTATAATATAAACAAATTATTTTTCAAAAGCAAATGCAGGTTTATGTAACCAACACATAAAACTTTACATTGCTGCTATTGTAAAAATTACATTTTTAAGCTTTGAAATCACTATTTTTCCATATCAAAACAAACACTATAAAACATAATGATCAGAATTTCTATATACAGCTTTTAAGATTTATTTCACTAAATAAAAAAAACTTCAAGAAAACTAATTTATTTGTACATTTGTTTCTACAAGAACACTTTAGTGCTGTTACAACTAGTAAAATTGTGAAACTCAAGAAGGTATATTAAACTTAATTATTAAAGAACACATTAGTAAGAAAAACCAGATAAAAACAGTATTGTTAGCATTGAGCATTGCTTCTCAGAAACAAGTGTTTCCTCATTAACTCGTATCTTTTTTCATGTACAATTACAATAGTTTAGTGTGATGATAATATATTAATTTAATGTTTAAATTCAATAAAAAAAAAACATTACAAAGCCCCCTGAAATAAAATTTAGCTTATAAAATGTGTGTATATATACTCCCAAAAATATTTACTTAGTTTTAACAAGTAGTAATTTGGAGAAGAAGATCCAGTGATATTTATCTGTAATAAACAAAACTTAACTTTGTTTTTATTTTTTGGAAATAATTACACATTTTCATACTGATTAAAAAGTTAGATCATTATCTAACATGTGACTTTATACTCTCTACAGTGGTGGAAATATAAAACCAATAAAAAAAATTCCAATAATATTTATCTTTGATAAACTAAACTTGAAAAAAGAAATACGATATATAGGGCAGCTGTGGATATTATTTGGCTTTCCTTTTTACAATCTACATTAGAGCTAGGTGATTAATGGTATATGTAAGTCATTTAATTGACAATCCCATTAATGATTCAGTTAATCGATTAGTACAGCGTTCCTCAAATCATGGTACATACAAGCAAAAACAGTTACAGGCTTTCCCATCAGTCAGCTGTTCAAGAAGAACAATGGAAAATCAACCTGAGACCCTGGAATCACAAGCCCCTCCTTTGAATCACCATATCTGAACAAATTTGAAGTGAAAAAAGAAAACCGTATAAGACTAGAATTGAGCAGAGCACAGATAGCCCATTAAGTAGCTTTGTGCTTAATGACTAACAAATATAATAACAGTATTTTATTTGGATAGTTGAAATAATCAAAAATAGTAATAATTGGAAACCTTAATTTGATTAGTTCATTCTTTGAGTAGCAGTTGATTTAATAAGAATTTTGGAATAATCAGAAACACTAATTTTGGTTAATCGATATAATTGTAATTTTGGTTAATCAGTCAGGCTATGTGACACTGATTAAATGTATTGCTGAGCCTGAATGAACATACTGTGTATCAAGTAAGGGAGTTTATTTTAAATTTTCTGAAGATGTTACTGAACAGAAACAACTTAAGAAAGAGGCAGATGAATAGAAAAAATCAAGGGTAACTCAGTACAACAGGAGTTAATTTAATCAAGTGACCCAATGAAATAAACAAAAATGCTAATTACAAACTTGTTTATCACAAGCTTTTTATAGTTCTTTATGAACTGTAGAAGGCTCTATAAAGCATCAACAATTAACTGAGTTGTATAAAAAAGACATAGTGTTTGTATGTTAATGCCAGGTTCTTAGTTGATTAGGAAAAACTTGATATTTTTTGGGTTTATTTAGAAAATTGCATGTGTCATAATAATACCCATAGAGTGTTGTAAATGTGTTTGATTGATGACAGATAGTAATTGTTTTTGCTTTAATTTCAGGCAGCAGATGGTTTTCTGTTTGTAGCTGCTTGTGATACTGGAAAAGTGATTTATGTCTCTGATTCTGTAACCCCTGTTCTCAACCAATCACAGGTAAGCCTTACTTTGTTTTCAATTTTTCAGCCTTTAGTATACACAATGTTGAATAACTTTGCTGAGCAGCTGCTGTTTACATTAGGAATTGGATAACTTATCAGTCTAATCAGTATGTTCCTTTATTTGTAATCATTGTTGTGTGTAATATTTGTAGGTTGTTATTATGGAATGTACTGAAAGTTGTTATTTTGAAAGAAGTTTTTGATATGGGCCTTTCTCAGTTTTTCTGTTCTAAAGACCATTCCAAATAAGATCTGCATGCATCAAATGTTTAATTTATAGCAAAACAGTACACATGAGGATATTATAATACCAAAATAATGGCCTTAATTTATTAAGAAGCAGTCTCAAGTGATGTGCATTAAATAATGTATTTTTATGTCTTGCATTAAAATCATATTAACTTAATTGTAGAACATTTCTCTCTTCATAAATATATTTAGATATATATTGTTACGACAGCAGAAGTCACATGACGTTGGGAGCATGCACACTGGAGTTTCTCGAAGGATCATGAATTATTGAGGAACCCCCCGAATGTCCGAATGTTTGCCAAGCACCCTCTTTTTTTAGTATATAAGCCCGGCAAATAAAGCCAGTGATAGATAGATAGGCAGATAGATTGAAGAGATATAGATTCATTGATGAGATGGATAATTGAGTCAATCGAACAGTAGGCACCATAAGTAAAGTGTGTGAATCAAACAAGCAGAT